AAATGCCAGCAATTCCTTGGGAACAAAACAACATCAGGGAAAATCAACAGCAGCCTCCTTGAGTTTCCAGTTGACACCATGTTTTTAACAGGCTAGGGATCTCAGAAGCAGGTAAAACCAGTTATTACAAAACCCTCACAAGTTCATGCTGCGGTCACAGAAGCTGTGTCCGAAACAGCTGCCGAGGTTGCCAGGCTATCAGCTCCACACAAATAGCTGAGCTTTATAGCTTCTTAAAATTATCTTTAAAAACATTTCATAGATGGAATTAAACAAACACTGGAGTTAAAAACTTTTTTATTGTTTTATGTGTATGAGAGAGTGTTCCCCCGTACATGGATATAAGAGCACCATATGTATGCAGTTCTTATGGAAACCAGAAGAGGGCGCCAGATCCCCAAAACTGACGTCATGGACAGGCAGAGCTGCCCTATGGGTGCTGGGACTCTAACCTAGGTCCTCAGGAAGCGTAGCATATGTCTCCATGACTGAGACATCTCTTTAACCTAAATTAGAATTTTTAATTTTAAATGACAATCATAAATTTCTGTGTCATATTTAGGATTTGTTGCTTTGGTTTGGATTGATTTTTGAGAAGCAGAGTGTGAGCAGAGCACAGGCCATCTGAGTCTGGGCCCTTCACCATTTCCCTGAGTCACTTAGAACCATTCTCAGGGTTCTGCTTAGTAGCGTCTCTCTAAGCACAAAGTAAAGTCTTCTTCTCTACCCTCTCTATTTGGAAGTGTTTTATCACTGTTTTTATTAACATCTCTAGCAAAGACTGCAAGTACAGTTAACACAAAATAGACTCTCTTTTAACCAACTTTTTACAATTTATGTAATTAACAATGTATTTGTATTATGAGGGGGACTCAATCTGTTTAATCGTCTTCAAAGAATACATTGCTCTATACATCGCCAAACCTTTTCTAGGCAGGAAGCAGGAAAGTTAGCATTATAAAAACAGTTCTTATAGGGAAAGAGTAAACTATTTCTTCTGGAATGTAAGGGGGAGTTCTAAGAATTTAGAGGTGAACTAGTGTCTTAGAAATGCCTGGGACTCTGTCTTGGGGAGATTAGAATCAGTATGTGCTTTGGGGCAGACAGGATGGGATACAGATGATTCCAGAAGCTGTAGGGCAAGCCCTAGACGCTAGGGGCTTCTGTGGTCTGAGGTGTGTGAATAGAGAGCTGGACATGTATATGAATGATAACATAGAGGATATGCCTCAGAGGCTGAACTAGACCCCAGTTAAAGGTAGACTCTAGGTATCAGGACGGCAAGGACTTGCAGGAGCAAGAGAGTTGGCCAGGAGGCTCGGGAGGTCAGGATCACCTGCCAGAGCAGTGGAAAGTTCACCAAGGCCCCGAGAAAGGGGAAAGCTATGCATCAGTGAGAGTAATCCTTCATGACTGCAAGTCCTTTTTAAAGCAAACGTGGGGGAACCCTTATGCTATGTCTAAAGCTCACCTTCTCAGCTTCTGCTCAGCCCCTTGAAGGCAATGTTTGTGGGTTCCTTGGCTATCCATGGCACTTACACAGCTGGCCAGGGGTTCAGTCCTCCCATTCTCCACACAGAAAACAACTTCCCATGGTAACCTTATCCACTTCTAATGGAGCCCTTGGGAGAAACAGGGCTCTGCAGTGCATCTCCAATTTCTGTAGTTTTATAGCCTAAGGATATGATTTTCCATCTGTCTCTTCATCTTCAACTTGCCTCTGTCTGGGACCCAATAGCTTATCTCTGAAATAATTATATCTGGGTTGCTTTTTCTCCTTCTTTTTTTATGAACTTGCATGTGCTATGAACCCTAGCTGCTATTCATCAAATGAATATGGAATCTTTTCAGTGACGTAGCTGCTTTCGTCACTCCTGCTTCTGTGAGCAACCCCCGACATCCACTCCCTTCCACTGGGCCACCGTAAAGCATCCGCAAGGAGGTTTGGCATCTGCTTAGTATATTCACTTCACAGAGGCAGACCAGCAAAGGAAGCCAAGTATGGACAGGGAGATTGAACCAAACTAGGGAAGAGGTGTTAGATAATTGGGTTTTAGTGGCACTGGGCTAAAGTTACTGGCTGCAGATTTGTAAATATTCAAAGCAGACTGCAGACTTCACCGTCCCCCCACCCTACAGCACCCACACTTGTACATCTCGGGGACTGTCTTGCCTTGGCCTCCCCATAGCTTTTTAACTCTTTTTCTGTCGGACCGTGTCTGTATAGCTTGGTCTGTGTATCTTAGGCTCACACTTGGAATACAGCATAGTGGTGTGGGGCACCAGCTTCCAGCAGCTTGTCAGTTTACAAGCTGGGAGTGAAGGGGGAGCAAGAACACACCCTTGCCCAAGGCTGCTCTCAAAGGATCACACTAGCAACAAAAAAACCACTGAAATCATCGAGCATCACAAGTCAAAGGACACCCTGTCCCCTCAGAAGGCCAGCTATGTAGCATGTACTCACACAGCACTGGGTATGGGTACAGCAGATCTGCCAACCTTGTTTCTCTCAGGTGCACCCACTATGGAGTATTCTTATTTATCACATTTTCTCACATTTTCCTGCGCTTAGAAGGCCTTGCACTTTAGTGCCAGCACTCATAATCCAGGGCTTTCCTTCAGTCAGAAAGGTTCTGGGTTCATGGGATGGTGGCCTAAGGTAGGAACCGCCCAACTCTCAGTAATCCCAGAACACCTCTTACCTACTGAGTACCTTTGGTGTGGGGAAATAGTTTCCAGCTCAAGGGAAGATTTCATAAGACCATGGATGGTCTGGACATTCTGTCTTAACTCTTCTGAGACTGCTTGCTTTTGTAATCTACAGGAAGAGCCAAGCGGTGTGATTTCCTGCAATGCTTCAGGCTGCTGGGGTATTATCTGGGAGCAAGGAGTGTGAGCAGTTTCTTAAATGCCCTCAGGCTAACTACATCACTAGCTCCTATTGCACAAGTCTGCGAAGACAGAAAGGCTCAGAGCCTGGCTGAGGAGCCCTCCCACTTAGGCAGCTCCTCTTGTTTATAAATGAAGCAGTAGCTCTCTCTGGAAACAGCACTTCCTCACAAGGAGGAAACTCAGTCTCTGGGGTCCCAGGAACATCCTAGAGCTCCCAGGATGCTCCCCACCCCACTTTGCTCTGGATGCAGTGAACAGGAGACACCTAGGGATCCACAACCTGCAGAGTAAGTTAGGGGGACCCTGCCCTTGCTTGAGACCTCCAGCAGAGTCTCCAGGAGCTGCTGTCTGCTGCTGAGAACTGGCCAGGCTGGCCCAGGGTTTGCCAGCTTGCCAGACATGAGGCACTGTTGTGGTTTGAATGTGCGTGGCCCAGTGAGTGGCACTATTAGGAGGTGTGGCCTTCTTGCGACCTACCAAGTAAGATGAATGCATTTATCTGTGGATGCCTTAACTAAGAGGTTGGTGAGCACAGCCTGTTTACTTATAGTGAGGACCACCACCACTTTTTGGCAGCTAAGATGTTGCCACCTGCATGGTTCCCTCTCACCTAAGTAAAAGTCCAGAGAAGCCACATCTGTCATAAAATTCTTGATTCCGTAAGTTAAGAGACCTGAAGGGAAACCGCCTGTCAAAGCCAGAGACCAGAAAGCCTTGCTCAAGTCTGCCTTCCTAAACATTGCAGCAAATGCAGGCCTCTGTTTTCCTATTTGTCTGTACAGACTCCGGCCTGCTCTTGATTCACAGACACCAGAGATGCACTCTGGCCTCTGCTTTCACTTTCACAGTGACTCCTGTACTGTACTTTAACTTTGGCTCTTTCAGCATTGATCTGGAAACATCATGATCTTTACGAAAACTCGAAATCAAAGTCAGATGTCTTTCTGATTTTCAGATGAGGAAGCAGAGGTAAGCAACCTATGCACGTAAGTTAGTGAGCCGGACCTGACTGTCACCTCGACTACACAGCAATACTGTCCTCCAGGGGTGACCTCCTCACCTCCAGGAAGCATCTCACATTGAAACCCTGAACTGACACAGGTGGTCATGAGAGCATTGCTGGCTTGCATCGCGTCTTTTAGAGATGAAATGATGGTCTTGGGAAAATAGAAACATAAACAGCCAATGAGAACTTGGGACTCAAACAGTCCTGCTTATAGTGTATCGATGTGTAAAACATGTGTGATATGTTAAACAAACAGTGTACTCAACACATGACACACACAGAGTTCACCGCATCATTCTAAGGGGCATCTCACAAAGAGCCAGAGAGGATCAACAGGCTGCCTTTTCTGAACTGTGTGAGTTTCCTGATGATAAACAAATAGGATCATTTCTATAATTTTCTATGTTATTCAGGTTTTGCAAAGCAAATAGGCCTTTGTTCATATTTATGAAGAATATGAATAGTAGTTTTAAGCAACTTATGCTCACTGATCAGAGCTTCTAATTTCTCACATACGGCTTGGGAAATTTTAATAAACAATAGCAAATTGAGAACTGCATGGGGTGATTTGAATTAAGAAGAAAATAAATGGGCTGGGGAGATGGCGGAGTGGGTAAAGGCTTGCTGCATACGCTTAAAGACATGATTTTAGATCTCCAGCACTGCCCCAGCACACACACACACATACACACACACACACATACACTCACACACCTGTAACGTCAGAACTAGCGACATGGAGACAAGCAGATCCCCAGAGCTCATTGACAGTGCTAATCAGTTGGTGGGCTCCAGGTTCAGTGAAAGACCCTGTCTCAAAAAAACAGGGTGGAGTTCAACAGAGGAAGGCAGCGGGCCTCAACCTCGGGCCTCCATGCAGACCCTCGTGTATATACACACCCACAAACAGATACAGAAAGAGAGAGAAATGAGCATGGTATGTAACTCAGCAGTAGGAACCTCTCAGAGCACGAGCTAGTTTTACTCTCCAGCCCCACAAAGGAAAAGGAAGAAAGGAAAAGGGAAGTAGTCACAGACAGCCCCGAACCTCATGCCGAGCATTCAGACGCTCCCCCTGCCCCCATACATCTCACAGAGCCAGTGAGCGGTCAGCAGTGACTTTAATGAGCGTCTGCATGGTGCACAGCACTGTACATAGTTATGGTCGACACAGTTTTGTCTCACTCTCTCTGTAAAGGTGTCCTTTACCTTCCTGATCTTGCAGGTTTACTTCCTGTGCTGCAGGACAGGGCATATATCCTCAGTGTGGTACTTGTCGTGACACATCACAGCATGAATTGTACTGTTTTTCCCATCATACTGGGAACTCTTCATAGATGGAGCATTTTCCACTTCATACATGTTTGCTAGATGCATAGATGAAGGAAGGGCAGAGGGTGCTTCCCTGGGGTCCCTTCCATTCTCTAGTTTGCATTAGGTGGAAAAGGCACTAAGGGAGAGGGGTGTCTGAGAACATGGCTGACACAGGCTAGCAAAACAGTTCTATAAATGACAAAGTTGGCCAGCTTCCCCAAGGGCCTGAGAACAGTATGAAGCCGCAGCAAACCCTCCAAGCTGAAGACAGGGGTTCTGCTTCCCAGCCCCCATGTCAGAGGCCTAAGCTGACTCCTGGGAGTGGGCCATCAGCCCGGAGATCTGGTAGGACTTTAAAAACAAATGCAGCTAGTTCCAGTGAACCAGAGGTCCTGACAACAAGAAACTCCAGAATGAAAGGCCTCAGCCCTCCAACCTGAAGATATATTTTTGTCTTATCATTTTCCACATTTAAAAAAATGCCACACAAGAATAAATAACCAGACAGCTGAATATGGCAGCAGGGGTTGCGTAGAGTATTTCCAAGTGATTCCTTATAAGGGGTTTGTGCACTGAGTGTCCCCCTAAGGAAGGCCTCTCAGAATGCAAATATTCACTGAAAGGAAAAGGGCCTCATTGAGATGCAGTCAGCACAGTGTCTTCCATGAATACCTGGCATTTGTTAACCATGCCACGTCCAGTTGATGACGCAGAGCCTGGTGCCTTTGATAGGTGATAAAATCCTACTTACACCCAGGGAGGCACACCCTGATGTGATGGGGTGTCCTAGCTGATCATGCCCTGCTTCCACTAGCCCTGCAAACAAAGTCAAATACAGCCTCCTTGTGCCTCTGGGTCCTAAACAAATGAGGGTTTGGTCACGCCATTTCTCTGGCAGCTTCTGAGAGTCCCTTTTGGACTCAGCAGTGCCCAGGTAAGCCCTCACCCTCCCACTGGCAGAGAAAACTCATGGCAAATACTGCTGTGAGTCCTTGGTAACTGATATGTATCTACCTGAGCAAGGGCTCATCTGCTGTCCAGACTCCTAGTCCTGGCTGCATGGAGCCTGCAGGCTGCCAGTCCCCTCTGGTGCTATCCAAATCTTTTTCTGCAGAATTTAATTCTCCTGTGCCAGCTGGGAACAGCTGATGTCTGTCCCCTTGGCTCCTTTTGTTATAATTTCTAGTGCAAGATTTAAAATAATAAGTGATTGATCAAACCTGGAAATAAGCTCTCAAATTTAACTTGCATTAATGAAGGACTGATTTTTTTTTAGCTTCAAACACACTATAAAAATAATATTCTAAGAGATCATGATTCTTAAATATGTACATACATATGCTTCTACCCAAGAGGACCAGAATGTTTTTCATTTTTTCTATTACCTAGATAGTTATAACAAATAATTGTTTCAGGTGAGAAGTCAGACTAGTTTATGGTACTGAATACTCACCTAATTGATTAGATGCTGGAAATATGAAGTTTCATATTATTAACATGCAGATCTTTGTGTTTAATGTCGTCAGCCAGTGATGTAACATCGCACAGACAAAGGCTCCCTAGGAATGCCTGGAGACACCCAGTACCTACTTTATGCTGCCTCCTCTATGCCTAGAGGGACCAGGTCTACTCCAACTGGGGCTGCATTCAAATTTTAGTATGTCATATTTGGCATAAAATGCTTATTGTGACACAGCAAAATTCAACTTTGGGAGAAAATTAAATCAACTAACCCCGGAGACCTAGGTAAAGGTCAGAGCTATGGCAGATGCCGTCTCAATAAGGGAAGGATTTCAACAGAGCAGTCCCCGGCTCATTGCTAGGTAGGAGAGGAAGAGGAGATTCTGAGACTGGATAACAATACACAGATCTAGTTTGCCTTAAATCCCCAAGAGTAATGGGAGGCACACAATACCGTTTCTCACAGCATTTAATGTCATCCTCCTTATTATCAATTTTCATAATAAGCCCGGGTCATGCCAGGTGTTGCCCTCTGAGTAGGAGCGCAGTGCTAAAAAGATATCAAACTCATGGAAGGCCACCTGTGTAGTTGCACAACACCAAACCTACCCTGAACATTTCTCTTAGATCAAACTTAGAGCATGCCATACTCTTTTGCAGAAAAACACACATCCCCACCAGGCAGATATAACATAATAGCTGACAAAGAACAGAAACCTGCTGTTTAAAAAAAAAAATCAAAATTCACCACAATGAACATTATTAGGTTTTTGAGTTCTATAACTCCCCAGAATTGTCTAAAGTAACCTTGTAGCCAATCCGCTTGAAGACACTAAAAACAATCTGAAACAGGCCACCCATGGTGCCAAAAGCAGTGTCAAAGAGGAGCGAGAGGGTGCCACCCAGCCCCACAGCAATGTCTTTGCACACAAGGGGAATGGCCCCCACAGTATACACAGGGAAAGTGGCTACATCCACAAGGACTCGGAGAGGGACACTCAGGACTCGGCAGACGGCCTTTAGCAGACAGCAGAGGATCCGGAGAAAGGCCCTGATGACTTTGCCCACGACCTTGAGCACTTTCCAGGGAATGCTCACCAACTCTTGTCCAATGGCCACGAGGTATGAGACAGCAGCTTTGCCCAGACGGTAGAGGCAACTCTCAACAGTGTTTATCACCTGCTTGGTGACAAACCAAAGGAGACGGACTATATTCCTTAAGATGGCTGCAACAAGGTAATAAATTAACTGGAAGAGTTTAATGAACGGGGTAGCAAGGAAACCCAGGACTTTTCCCAGAAAACTGCCCCCTCCCTCCGGCGGTGCTTCTGGGGGCAGCAGGGCAGACCGCTGGCTTTGGGTGCTGGCAAGGGGACTCATGATCTCTTGAGACTTCAGAGACCGCTCCTCATCTTGGACTTGGTTGACCACTTCCAGAATCTTCTTCATCTTCTCTGTGTCTTGCTCTGTCTCGCCACAGTTGTCCTGGAACAGCTGAGGCTTATGAGGAAGTAGCTTCTCAAGGTCTCTCACCATCACATCTTCTATGACATTACTGTCTTGAGTGTTCTTGATGAAGCCCATGGCCCAGCCTCCTCCAGGGACTGCACAGCAGGCTGCCAGCCAGACAAATTCAGGGATAGTCACTTTGTCCTTAACTTTGTGCTCTGAGGGAACAGCACCCGTGAGGGTGTATAGGTCTTTGCCATCATTGCAATGTGGGATCAAGGCTCGGTCCATTAGGCTGTTGAGACTCATGTGCCATCGTTCCCGGAAAGACTGGGTCATTGGAACTGAATTTGTGAGTGGGAATGTGGGTGTCTGGAGGTCATTGTTAAGGGGAACTGGGTACAGCTGTCCGATTTCATAGCCAGAGTCAAGGTAGTCTGCATTCAAGGCTTGCTTGCTTCCCAGATTGTTCACGGAGGTAACAGCATCAGCCTCATCAATTACCTCCTCAAGGTTGCTGTCAGGGTCATCAATCTGAAAGAAAGAAGGCAGAGCTGAGATTTGTTCCTGCTCACAGAGGTGGGGGGAGCACCTGAACCACCTGCCAAAGCTCCAAGGACATCCTACCCTTCTACCACGTCCCACCCTTGGGTTCTCAAGACGTGTTTCTTACACACACACACACACCATTCTAGTATCCCTCAATGCTGGTATTTGAAGGTGTCCTCAAATAGGACGCATCCTGCTTCATGTTCTATGCCTGCCCCACCTCATACCCTCATGATGACCCTTCTCAATGTGTTTATGTATATACATGCAGGTGGGTACATATAGGCAGTATATGCATACATGCACATGCATGTGACATCAATGCCATTCCTCAAGAACCACCCACCTTAAAAAAAAATAAAAACATTTAACTTACGAAGAATTCAGTTTCATTATGGCACTTTTTCAAACAAAATTTGATTTTGTTGTTCCTCTTCCAGGCCTTGGTTTTGTTTGTTTTAAATTTAAATAAAAAATTTAATTGTATGTAATGTATTTGTGAGGAGTTATGTGCAGTGTGTACAGATGCACACCAAGGCCAAAAGAGGGCATGAGCTCTCCTGGAGCTGAAGTTACAGGAGGCCATACGCTGCTGGCTATGGTGCTGGAAACGGAGCTTGGGTCCTCTGGAAGAGCCACCTTTCCAGCGTGCCAACCTTGTTTATTGAGACAAAGTTTCTCATTCACCTGGGGTTCACTAACCAGGCTGAATGGCCATCAAGCCTCAGGAATTTGCCTGTCTCTATCTCCCTGCACTGGGATTACAAGCCCAAGCCATCACATCTGGACTCTTTAGTGTGGTTTTGGGGGATTGAGATTGTGTCCTCAGGCTTATTCTGAAAGCACTTTACTGGTTGAGCCATCATCCAGGCCTGAATTTTCTTTATCTTGGTTGCTAAGACTGAACCCAAAAGACCAAGCGTAGGCCCTCCCATCTCCTATCCTGTGATAATCTTTTAAAATTTCTTCCACTTTTAAATTAACTGATATTTGAATTAATCTATGATGCTTACAATGATTAACATGCCAATCAATATATATGCTATATATCAATTATAATATAGAGATGTATCTTTTCTCCTTTCTATAAAGGTACTTTTGTAGTTCAACAGTATTTTATGTATACACACACACACACACACATAGATGCACACACATATAGATGGTAGATAGATAGATAGATAGATAGATAGATAGATAGATAGATAGATAAATGTTAGTTGTTTTGCTAATCCAAGGGCATAAGAACTCTGAGTTAAGGACTATGTTTCTTTCCCAAACTAGACTGTAAATTCCTTGGTACCAGTGACTATGGTTTTGCTGGAGAATCCAGTCTAAGGCCAGTGGACTTTCTGTTCACTTTTAGGCCCAGAGAAGATCATAGTGACAGCATTTGTAACAACAAAGGCTTGAACAAAAATCTAAAATGTGAAGTAAATGATAATATATCCCCTAAACATCTTGAACCCTTTAAAAAATACTTTCAATTCTGGAGAATGTTTGTTTTGGAAGTATGTGCTGTAATATTGAAAGCAAAGGCAAGATACAGAATTAAGTGGTTGGGGCTAGAAAGATGGCTAAGTGGTTAGCTCTGGCTACTCTTGACTGACTCAGTTCCCAGCACCCACATGTTGGCCAACATCCATCTGTAACTTCACTTCCAGCGGGATCTGATGCCTTCTTCTGTGTCTGAGGGCACCAGGCTCATGTGTGATATAAGCAGACACATGCAGATAAACACTCATACACACAAAATATAATAAATAAAAAATTTTAAATGATCATAATTTGCTTAAAAGTCCAAAACTATTCCTTCTTAAAAATACCCAAGATATTTAAGAAGGACGTATGTGCAATCAACACTGGTTGATTGATTCCTGGATTGCTGATATTTCATTCTATTTTTTGGTCCCTGTACCACTCCTACTCACAAATCAAAACAAATCTGTTCTTGCTAACTGACTCCCTAATATTGGAACTAACTCCCTACACCACCCTTCAAACCTCCAGCAAAGCCAAAGCCATAGGGTTTTGTCACCAGCCTAGGGCAGGCTGACTATGAGTTTGCCTGGCTCTGCTGTGGTCTTTCCCAGTGTAACTACAGAGCAAGTGAGGGTGAGGGTCCTGCAGGTCCTTCATGCTTCTGGCATGAAGCAGGTATGTCTGCTGGAGCCTCCCACAGTTCTCTCCATAGGCTGACCCCGTCACACTACTCCATCCTCCCTAGCCTAAGAAACAAGGTGTCTAGACACTCCCCACACCCACCCCATCCCTCATAGGAAAAAGATAAGAAGCTCATTCATTTTGCAAGTCTTTTGTCTCCACTTTCTTACAACTGAAAGATATACTCCAGGAAACAGTAGCTTTGCTGCTGAATGGGGAGATCAAGACACAGCAGAATCAGGGTTCTCTGGGTGAGCATAAGTCCACATGCTTCAAGATGTTGCCTATGTATTCATTCACTACAGTAGTTTGTCTGCACTGAAGCTGCTCTTCTAGGGGAAGTCTGCACATGGATTCTGGTCACTATGTTGGCAGAGCACAGACACCATACTGAAGTGTTTTCAATGCCAAGGGCCACCGAGGGATAGACTGCAGGCCTAGGATGTGACCAGAGAAGCTGGGTTCTAGGATGGTGAAGGAGATAAAGGCTTAAGAAGGGGGAGAGGAGGATGGAGAACAACAGGAGTCAGAGGATATAAACATCCTGGTATGGGGAGAAACTAGGGCTGGACTGACTCATGGTAAACTGCAAGCTAGCCACAGGGCTCCACAGGAGACTCTGAGTGGGGTGCCTCTGCTTGTGTTCTGACCACATGGGGCTTACTGGGCCCCACAATTCCAGGATCTTTGCAGAGCCTGATATTTTAGCTTTTCTTGGGTTTTTATGTGTTTTATCCTTCCAAGGAGCCCAGAATTTCAGAAGGAAACATGAGGCTTTGTCCATGAAGGATACAAGATCTTCAAAAAGGAATCCCTATCCAATAAAGCTATACAGCTTCTCTAGGGTACCCTGGTTAGATGGGGTCCCTTTCCTGCTTCTTTCCACTGAGTGGTTCAGGACTGTCAGAGGACTGACTTGGTGATTTTTGATCTGAAGGTTTGCTATCCACACTTCCTGGATACGTTCCTGTTAAGTTCCCCAACAGAACAGGTGGGATGGGCCAGGAGGGCTGGTCCATGGAAGGCTGCTGTGTCAGCACTTGATCTGGCTGCTTCCTTTTGTTCTGTGTACCATCAGAGGTGGCACAGAACACCGAGCAGCCATGCAAAGCAAACTTTCTGAACCAAAATCACAAAATCAGTGCCAACAAGCCTCCTCCAACCCTGCACCACACTGGAGTTAAACAGGAAAGGCTCCTAGGTTATCAAGGTACACCACAGCCTAGAGCAACTTAGGGGAAGAAAAGACTTATTTCACCTAACACTGCCAAGTCACAGACGTGGATGAAAGTCAGGGCAGAAATTTAAGGTAGGAGCCTGAGGCAGAAGCAAAGAAGGATGGCTGTTTGCTAAACTGAGCTCGGGTTTGCTCAGCTGGCTTCCATGTATAGCCCAGGAACAGGGTTGCCCACAGCGGGCTCGGGTCTTCTGTATCAACTAGGAATCAAGACAACCCCCACCCCCACCCCGCCCAGACATTCCTAAGCCAACCTGTGTAGGCAGTTCCTCAAGTGAAGCTTCTCTCAGCTGACTGTAGGTTGGGTCAAGTGACAACCAAGACCAAAAAGGTCACCATCACCAACACAGGGGTATGGGACTCCCAGACTGTCCCCAAGTCACATGGGCAGCTTTTGAAACACAGGATTCTATTACTCAAAATGAAAAACGGTTAAGAGTGGGTGATTCAAACATTCTTAATATACTCTCTGACCTGCTGTCACCCAAAGGGCACGTGTATTTTCCACACCCTAGAGACACAGTTTAATGATGTGCTCACTGCAGTACATTAATGACAACATAGATCCCTGAAGACAAAATGACACCTATGACAGAAGAGGCAAGTTCAGATTAGGTATAGTCTCCAGGTTACACCCACCCCTGGCAGCCACCCCCGGGCAGTCACCCCCCGGCAGCCCTAGATTTACTGGTTCCCCAGTGGCATCTCTGTAGGGAGAGAATATACAGAATCTCTCTGGCTAATCTGTCTCCCAGCTGACCCCATCCCTCTGGACTGCTGATGTAATTTGATGTAGTGCCTGTATTTAATGGAATGTTTTTCACTAAGATCAACATATTAAGTAGGTTTTTAGAAGAAGAAACTGTCTCCATTTTACTAGTCTCCAGTCTCACAAATAACCTTACAATAAATTCCTTTTCAAATTTAATACCAAGCGAAAGAGTGTTTCTCAACAAGCTCATGGGTTTCCTTAGCAGATATTTAAACCTATGATTTTTAAACCCACAGCATATCTTTTGTGTTTGTTTCAGAATTAAATAGTGTGCCAAATTTGTGATTTTATTCATGTTAGAAAAGTGAAGGGTTGATACTTTAAAAAGGTTATGAGAGGGGCAATATTTGTCCATTAAACAACACTTAATTAGCACTGTGTTGTGTGTGACCTGCTAAAGAAATACTGTAATGGGATAATAATGATAGCCACGACTTCCTGACCTATAAGGCTATTATTATTCTAGGCCTATTTTAAGAGCTTCACATGCAGTGACTCAGTAAGTCCCTCATCTAAACTCAGCACTGCATGTTTGTCCCCACGTGAATAGGAGGTTGGGCAGAGGGTTGGGACTCCTGGAAGAAGGGAAAGGTGACAGCTTTTAGTGTTACTAAGACTGGCTTCAGAGAGCATGGCTCTACCTACACATGTATACATACACAGTGCACACACATACACACATACATATGTGCTCATTCTTATGCCCCATACACACAGGGTCATGTACATACATGTACACCAGGATATTTGAAAGCCAAGAAGAAAGTCAGAACAGAGAGCTGAGAGTTGGCTCTGGGGTGTTTCTACAGACGG